ATAGAGGATGTATGTATGTATAAGCCCTAAATTCTGACGATGCTATTGATTCAAAGGGAGAAGAAAAGTGCCGAGACAAGAGTGCCAAGAGTGTCAAATATTTAAATTGAAAACCAATATTCATGATGCTATTTGTTTATGCCTAATGTGATTTGCAGCTATAATTGATTATTGATAGAGAAGTGCACTACCTCTGTATACAAACGGTGTTACCTAATTTACAGCTAAAGGCTTCGATAATAAAATTATTATTTCAATACGAAATTTCCCTTTTCTTGTTAGAGTATATCTAATTTAAATATATTTTTTTTATTGTTCTTTAAAAAGTCGCATGATTTTTGGTATCAGGCATTTTAAATATTTCTAATTTTATTTAACTTTTTTTAACTTGGCTGTATTACAAAATTAAAACTAAGCAAATATAGACTCAGACTAAACCTAATCCCAATTTAAACATTACTTATCGGTAATTTTATTTAATCTAGGTTCGTCATATCAGATCTGCAGTTGTACTTACCGCTGGAATAGCAAATTCTTGGCAAATGCATAAAGCTCAATGTCCAGGCTATTCAGCTTCTCGATGAGTCGTCGTTGATCGGGACGCAGATTCGTGACGGCAGTTGCCGAAATCGTGGCATTGTGCTGCTCAAAGGGTATGGCGAAGCGCAGGTTGAAGGTCTCCTCGAAGATATATTGGGACATCTACATGGCGAGAGGGTTAAGTGATAAGTTATGCAGATTAACTAACTAAACTAACGACTAACCTTTTGATATTCCGTCAGTCCAAAGTACGCCATGGCGGCCAGGTTGCGCTTGGCGCTGGCCAACATCACTCGGTCGCGCTCGTGCGCTGGCATCGAGGACTTGTTGTAGCAGCCCACTAGGGCCAGGTCGGCCAGCATGCGAGTCTGCCGATTGGCCGCCAGATTTGACTCGCAGCCAGCGAACTGATCCAGATCGACATCCAGCCAGTCCTTGCCCTTGTAGCAAGGCGGCAGCTCGGCGGCCGTGGCCTGCCGGCCCAGGCACCAGTGCCGGGAGCCCTTCCATGTGGCGCCGCGTCTCACATGGCGGTACTCGGACATGTAGCGTGAGATCGGCTCGCGCAGCAGCGATATGTAGAAATAGCGACGCTTGGCCGTCTCGCCCTCGTTCTTGTCCAGCTCAGCGTCCACACAGCTGGTCAGCTCCGTCCAGTCGGCGTGCAGGCCGCACTTCCAGCCGGTTGAGTATCTGGAGAAGAGCCAGTTCTCGTTGCGATGCGGACGGAAGCAATAGCAACGCTTGCGCTGGCGCTGGCACTCGCAGGGACGCTAAGAGAGTGAAAGTCGTTGGGATTATCTCAATAGTTTATAGAGTTCTGAGCTCACCTTCAGGTCCAAGTCGCGCACCAAATGCCGTCCAAAGGATGTGCCGCCTGTCTTTTGTATGTGCAGAAATACCATCACATCGTGGCCATCCATGTCGAATTGGAAATCGTCGTTCAGCACATCCTCATAGCTCAGCCCGGCATTGGCAATAATATTCTGTGGGGCTGAGGCTTTCAACGCAATTGACGTGCTGCCGCCCGCATTGTTGTTGTTGTTGTTATTATTATTGTTATTGTTGTTGTTGGGCTGAAGCTCATTGTAGCCCATCATGTCCGGCGATTGGAGTATTACGGCGCGTTTGGATAGTGCACATACCTGCGGTTCGTGGACAAAGAGAGCAAACGTTAAAAGACATTAACAATGCACAGGCAGAAAATTGTTAAATTTAATTTTATTTCTCGTGGTATCCTGCAGACACACACACGCACACATACTCGTACACAAGAACAATACGTACGCGGGGCTTAAAATTCAATTTATTGCCAGTAAAAATTACATAAGAGCTGCGTTCTGTGGGTGTTTATTTGTCTTCAATATTAATTAAATGAACAGCAGGATTAAATGCCAGCTCCTGATATATCTTCAGGCATGTTAACGCTGCATACTGCGGCCTCCTTGACCAGGCCAATCAAAATACCCGATGAAGCTTTCTTATTTGCCCAATGAAATGTGCACGTTTTTTATTTATTTATTAATTTCACTCACTCAGCGATTATTAAGTGGGCGCTTGCACTGCAATCGCACTCGAGCTATTTGATGCTTTTATTTACTCTGCTTACCTTTGTGCAGTCGGAATAAATATTTTAAAAATTTCCACTGCATACTTTTGGGCGTGCCATGTAATTCGTCATGGCGTCAGTGTGGGTAGCTAATGGATTTCTGATGTGAATCCAATTGGAGTGTCGAATGGGATTTATGAGGGCACGAAGTTCTTTGTATTGTGTTCAGCAGGAGGAAGTAGTTGATGTAAGTGAAATATTATATTATTAATATTCTCATTGTTGAAAATGATGTTTGTAAGCCATATATCATATACATACATATGTATATACATAAAGCTTAAAGTAATTTTTGGTGTTTCAACTCTCACTCAAGAAAGCAATTAAAGAACATCCGACTAAACTGAAACAAGTTCAACGAATATATGAGCTAAACATTGTTGTTGGCTGCTCTGCTCGTCCTTGTTGCAGTGATTATTTTTGTCCTTTGGAGTCTTCAAAAGCTGAAGCCAAAAGTTTCTCGATTAAAATGCGCAACTTTTTGCGAAATTCCCTCTATCTCGTTCTCTTATCTAACCGTTTCCGCTGCTTATGGCCAGCAGTGAGTATATACAACTAGCCAAAGCGTAAGCCGGAACAACTAACAAGTCCAAGCAGCAGCAGCAGCAACAACAACAGCAGCAGCAACAAGAGAAAGTGGGATAACTGAGCAGCTCATTAAACAATTGGCAATTGGGTTTCAACGGAATTGGTGGGTAAGAAATTAAGCAGGCTTTGTGGGGATTGTGGGTGCTCAGTAGGCCTTATCTTAAAGTTCGGCACAAGCGCATGAATGTGTGTTAGCTTGGCAAAAAGATGAAGCAAGCAGCCAAAAGAACACACAACCTAACTCCATATACTATATATATACATATACTATTTACAGTTACATGCGGTAAAGGTTTAGCGCCCCAGATAGGTGCAAAAAGTTTTGAATTTATTGTGCAGCAAGAACAAGAGAATTCGATTATCAGCCAACTGCTAGAAAAATGGGCAAAACTTCTGGACTGGCGCCCGAGGGAGTGCTGTGGCTTTGCATTTGTCAGAGCTTTGTGCCACCAACAATTTATTTGCTTGCCAAATTTTTGTGGTTTCTATTTGCCAATTTAATTTACGCCCAGGCATTTATCAACTGGGCTCGAATAAAATATAAATAGAATACACTTGTCTGCATTTTTCGGCCCCCAAAATGAAGCGCAAATCTACCACTAATGAGTAATTTAATTTTATTTCGCGCTACGCATCACATTGCATGGAAAATAATAACATTTCCGCAGCATGAGTGCGCCCGTGTTAGATAGATAGCTCGCACTTTGCTGCCCATTTAATTGCTTTTTATAGGCAAGCATAAAAAGAAATTATATGTACTATGACCACACACCACCCACCGCAAACCGCCCGCCCACCAACCCACCTAACACCACCGACTAAGAGCGCCCAACATGTCCAGCCTCCGCCGCAGTTTAGGCAATGGCCGCAGCGTTCCGTAATAATATAATAATAGTAATCATTTAGTGGGCAAATTGCTTCGCTGTTCACGCGCCCAACATATTCCCATTCACACACACACATACATACACGTATGGCATTGTGTTGGTGTCACGCATGTGTGAGCATTTACGTGGCGTTGTTGAATGCTTAGCACACCCACATAGCCGCACTTAAAATAGAAAATGTTTAAGTCGGATATGTTTTACGACGTGACACGGTCAGATGCAAGATATATACGTATATAATATACTAATTATAAATATATGTAAAGCATATTATATATTTGCCATGAAAATGCTGCTAAATTTCATACAGATGTGAGCTTGGGAGAGATCCCACCTAATCAATATACAATAATTTATGCAAAACACTTTTATATATTTGAAATTAAAATTTAGTATTTAATTTTATTCCTTGATTACTACAATGAAGACAATATGTGTATAATAAAAATATTCAATATTTATTTTGATTTACCCATCAACATCACAGACTTTTCTTACTATCTGCCACTTGGAATCCACATCCGAATTAATTATGCAACGAACCTAATAAAACATCAGCACTCAAGTTAGTCAAGAAAATATTTCATATAGGCATATGCTCAAATTTCTGATGTAGCTGACATATATTACCATCAATTGATGCTGTCATTTAATATCTAAAAATAAATGTATTTATCCGACTGTCATTTCGAAAGACATACGAATGTCTATTTTAATATTTGATGTGCTTATGTAATTTGACCGATGTAAATTATTACTTCTACTGCTGTAACTAATCCAACTAGCAACAGAAAATCACATTTTCATTGCTTTCCCAGCATCGAGATTTTCAATTAATTTAAGTGCTAAATATGCAGGCAGTGCCAGCAAGTCTCCGGTCTGCAGGCAGCAATAAAAATCAGATTGTGACGACAGCAAGTGGGAAATAAGATAAGCAATTTGGTTAACGTTCACAATAGTCATAATATTTGCTTTCTATGTGCAAAGTAGGCTACTAAAAAACAACGGAGAGAAAACAAAAGTCAAATAAAACCGCAAGTTTGAGTTAAGTAAATTAATATTTACGAGAGGAGCAGCACACAGATTTAAGATTTAAGATTGTGCTCCGTATAAAGCACAAGGACTAACATTTGTTCTAGTGTGTACTCCACACACAGACACACATAAGCACATACACATGTCTGCCAGCACTCGTAAATTTCGAGCACACCAAAAAGTAAACAATAAAACTTTTTGTAAAGGAAGAAAATGTTCTTGCTCAAGATTTGATGCTGAATGGCCATAAAAGAGGAAAACGAAATAGAACAGCGAGTAAATGGATATTCTGGAAAAATACGTACTACCAGGGACATAAAATTTTACGCAAATGTAGAAAATAAATTGAAGAATCTACAAAAAATTGTAGACGTACACACGATTTTGTTTATTGCTTATTTTTTGAGACAACATAAAAAAAAAACAAATTCCTTCTTGTTTTTTTTTTTTTTAGAAACACAAATATATCTCGCCCGTGATTTCGCGTTCGCAAACTATTAAAAGAAAATGTTATATTTAAAATTACACGTTTTGTGTTTTGTCTAATTTTCATTGCAAAACTCACGAATTTTTCTTCGTAGTTCGAGAATCTCCGCCGCCTCATCAAAAGGATTGGGGTCGTTATTCAGCTCTTTCTCCGCTGCCGCCGCAGCGACGTCTTCTTCATGTGCCTCCTTTGTCTCCTCTGACTTTTCTGTCTGATTGGCCCGATCTCCCTGATCTGCCTGGTCCTCCTGATCTGCCGCCTCTGGCTGCTCTGCGAGCAAGCTTAAAATGAGCAGCAAATAGAATGGTAACTGAACTGGGCGCATGGCTAGAAACGTTTGCCACACTCTTTTTTAGCCTCAACCAAGAAAAAAACAACTTGCGAGAAGTTTTCGGTCAAGCCTCACGGTTTAATAGAGTTAATCTATTTTGCATGCGAATTGAACAGTCGATTGCACTCATACATTGACACACACTGATTGGTTTTATCGTGGCGCACGTAGCCAGGCTTGCAGCCGCAGTCCAGATTACAGATGTAGAAGCAGCGATTTTCGGAGTAATACGGCACCGAGCAGCTCTCCTCGTAGCAGGGCAGACAGGCAAGCACCTCGTTCTCGCCACAAGCTGCAAGAAATCCCAAACTGTCGCACTTACACTCGCACACTTGCACAGATTATACGCTTACGCTTACGTACGCTTGCCAGGTGGAGCTGCCAGCAAGCAGCTGAGCAGCGACGCAAATGCAAATAACAACATGACGCAACAGCGTGCGACAGCACTACAGCAGCAAACTGTGCCCCACAGCGCACTACGGCTAACGGAGCGCTCGCTCTTCACGCCCGTTAAGCACGGCGAATTGTGTGTTATGGCAATTAGCCAAGTTTACTTTGGCTCTGCTGCTACTCTTTATCCCGGCTTGTTTACAGGGTATACAAAAGGTAAGGAACCGCCACGCTTTCGCTTAACTCATCTTAGCGATTGAGCACTTGAGGCAAGGGTATGACCATGCTCTAAGCGGGCATGGCTGATTTGTAGATACCCATTGAATCTCTGAATCGACATGAATATATTTATAACATAATTTATATAAAATATTTAGGCATACATTCAGATCCATATATGTATATAATAATTGGACAGAAGAAGAGGAAAGGCAATGAATCGACATATATAAATCTACAGAATTATTGATATAAAATATTTCTAAATATTTCGATCTTACGTAAGTTCCCCAGTCAACGATTATAATCTATAATAACATTTAAATTGAAAGCCTTAATTTTGAATGAAAACTGCTTTCTATTGCTTTTCTCTCGTAGATGCTTTCTTTTGGCTGACCTCTTTTCTTTTATATAGATAGATAGGGTCTATATTCATATGTTTATAATTAAACAGCGCTTTTAGGATAGACTTTTTACTCAAGGCAGTAAGCTTGAAGTGATCTATTCATTTCTATTTGTGCTTTATATCCCTTGAAGATTTTTTGAAAAGTTATATAAAGTTTATGGTAGACATATTTAACAGAGCTGGAAGTTTGTATTCCTTAATTTGACAAATAAATATATCTCTCTATATATCCCGAACTTTATAATAAATATAGACAGATGTATTCCACTGCGAGAAAAGTCAAAGGAATGAATACATCCCCTGTAGCTCTAAAATTGATATAATTTTTAACTATCTGCTTCAGAATACTTAAAGTCCACATAAACCCAAAACTTATAAACCAAGATTTTATTAGGGCTGCATAATCCATTACACTTGCGGCCCAAACTTATGAATAGGTAAGCATAGTTAAATATTGTACTTTGCTTATACATATTGATTATACATTTGATTATACATATTCTGGCAATTTGGCTGCCAGAATAGCAGACATATTTATATGTATATGTATATGCACATATTTAACGATCCACACAAAGGGGATCTGGGCCCAAAATGCGCAACCCCAAAAGTGTGCTATCAAATATTTATATGCCGTCTGCTAATGGCGTGACGTTGGCTTTATTATACCCTGAACCCATTTTCAATGGGAAATCAGGGTATAATGGTTTTGTTGAAATGTATGTAACAGGCAGAAGGAGGCGTGGCAGACCCCACAAAGTATATATATTCTTGATCAGGGCGACGAGCTGAGTTGATTTGGCCCTGTCCGTCTGTCTGTCCGTCTGTCCGTCTGTCCGTCCGTCCGTCTGTCCGTCTGTCCGTCTGTCCGTATGTATGAACGCGTCGATTTCAGAAGATATAAGAGTTAGAGACTTCAATTTTTTTTTAAAATGTTCGTAATTACAGCGCGCATATCAAGTTTATCATTAAAAATCGATAACTCATCCCGATCTTTTTTATCGATAAAAAACCTTATCGAAAACCAGTTATAAAATTATATCTTCTACACCTTTATTGCTAGAGTCTCCAAAATTTTAATGTATGCCTATATGCAATTTATACAATTTCGTTTTTTTTTTTTAATTTACCCCCCACCCTTAAATTCACCCCCTCACCCTCACTTTTGTAAAAAGCGTATTTCAAATACTAGAGACTTGTGCTTTGGCAATTACATGCATATCCATGTCATAATCATAATCTGAAAGTTTCATGAAGATCGTACGTCCACAAAAAAGTTATTAAGCAATTAAGTTCTCATAGTAAGTGCTCACTGCAGCCCATGCGTGTTTATGCTTGTGTGTGTGTATATGTATGTAATTGTTTGTGTATGTGTGTGTGTGTGTGTGTGTGTATGTATGTGTGTGTATGTATGCCTGTGTGTGCGTGCGTGCGTGCGTGCTGTGTGTGTGTGTGTGTGTGCGTGTTTCTTGTGTAAGCTGAAAGACGCGAAAAATTATTGAAATAGCTATTACTCCAAGGGTTCAGGGGATCTCGTAGTCGAGTAGTCTCGACTAGAGCTTTCTTACTTGTTTTTCTTTGCTTTCTTTTTTTTTTTGTCAAGGCGAAGGCTGAAAGCCGAAAATAATTCACATTTGCCGTGTAATAATCGCATTGGCATGTTCAAATCGCATAAGCAGCGGCCTCTTTTATGCACAAAATTTACACCAAAATTTAGAGCTGAAAATGTGCTGCTCATGCAGCAGCAGAACCCTTCCAGCCCTCCGATCCATTCGTTCCATACAATTTCATGTATTTGTTTAAATGATAATAAAATGCAGCACTCTAATGTAATTTATCATTCGCACAGAGTGCTTCTCTCTGTGTGTGTGTGTGGGTGTGTGTGCAGTGTAGTGTGCGGTGTAGCCAGTGTTGTGTAATTTTTATATTTCCCTTCTCATGTCAGTCACATAGAGGGCATTGTGTTTTATGCGATTGTACGAGTCCGGCCTACAGCTTTATTGTTTACCTGACTGACGTTATGTATGTGTGTGTGTGCATGTATATGTCCCTTTTGGATGGCCATTTCGTTAGCCCGATTGTTTGTGTATTGTGCTTTGTGTCTGGCCATTGAATTGCTAGCCACAGAAATGGTTTATGAGAGCATCAAAGCGGTTGCCCCTAACAGCTCTTAGCTTGACCTGATGCTGCGATCATATTGAAAATAAATACAAAGCTAAAGGTACAGCAGTTGTCATGGCACTTCAGTAGAAATGTGTGGGGAGCAAGGCATTGGTGTTGGAATTGAAGTGTTATAAGGTGAGTCATTTATTTATATCTCTCACTTCACATTGACTGATTATAAGTCTAAACAATTAGTGTAAGATTGGCCAATGCCAAGAGTTTCAAGTATTTAAATATACTCTAGCAATTGATTTGCTAAAATACAATTGAATAAACTGTGAATAAATGTTTTAATCTGTTACAGAATCTATCATGTGAATTTAGTTATTACAATACTTAGACAAACTGAGGAGAGTCAAATACTAACCATAAATTTGATTACACACAGATTATTGATGTTTTCATTTAGCTCTACGAACTGGAAGAGTCTTTCTCTGTATGTGTGTGTGTGAGTCTGAGTGCGTGTGTGAGTCTAAGCGTTTGCCATTTAATTTATCAAATGGAAAGTCTTACTTTGTGAATTGAGTCTGATATGAGGCCCTAAATCATTGACAGTTGCTCATGTTCTTAGAAGGGTTTAAAAGGAATAGAAAAAGGATCAAGACATGATGGGCACACATATATTATTTTTTAAAGCACCACGCTGAAAGCTAATCTATTTTAAGTGTCTGTAAGGCAGTCGACCAACAGATGTGTGCGTGTGTGTGTGTGTGTACATTAATGAAATGTAGCATAATATTTTTAGTTTAGACATTGGCTGACTGCACTGTGAGTGTGAGAATCTGTGTGTGTGATAAGCGTTCGTGTGAATCCCTAAAATAAGCAGAGACATAACATACAACACCAACACACACACACATACACACATAGACAAATCCCCTATAAGAGCTAAATAGTCCTCAGCTATCCGCTCGCTTTTGGTCACTGACCATAAATTCAACTAAAATATATTTTGACATTTTGCACGCAAAGCGCTTGATGAGTGGGGTACAGCAGACTCTGGCTAAAGACAGAGAGAGAGAGAGGGTGAGAGTGAGAAAGAAGAAGGGACGACGACGTCTAACTAAGCGTATTGGCCTGCCCACATCCTGGGGTGCAAATGGGCCAATAGGGAGGGCACACAGTTATATAAAGGTCATCGCAAGGACCAGGCCGCATTTCCTATGAAGTGTTAACATGCGATAACAACCGCCCTCCCCCTTAGCCAAGAAACACAATAAATGATACCAAATGCTGATGACAGCCCAAAGATTCTATTTTCTATGCCTTCAGAGATGAAAAGTATGTCGAACGCTGCCCAAACAAAGCACGATTATTTCGTGCTACAAATAATATTTTAGAGCATTAAGTAAAATATATATATTAAATTTAAAAATTCATATATTTATGCATAAATAAGATTTAATATAAAAAGTCTTTAAATTATATAAAAAATATATTTTATTAGACAACCCAAATTCTCTTGCTGAAGAAGTCTCAATTTGTTGCTTATATAGTGTTGAGTAACAAATCAACAGATCTGCAGTGTTGAGTAAAGTTTGTGAAAATCGAGGCGTTGTTCTGGACGCCTGGACGCCTGGAACTTTTTACAAGATTTCGTGTCACGGATTTCCCGCTTCCAGCTCTATCATAGGCTTTTCTCAATCTCCTTAACTTTCCAACTCCCCGAATTTATCATTTATTGCGACGTCATTTGGCATTGTTTCGGCTTAGCAGCAAGTGGCCAAAGCAGCAAATGAAGTGAAATGGCTTGAAAACGACGATAAAGCCAATCAATGGCTGCACATTCCTCATCTTCGTCCTAGACTCGTTTTTACTTGCTCGAGATTGTTGCAACGGCGAAATTAAATGAATGTTGCATTATTTGAGACTTTTATTTAGTTGCTGTGACATTTTTATGCATCTTTAACTTTTTTTGCTGTGCGCTCACCAAAGCATTTTAATTGCGCTTTTTAACAGCAAAAAATTCTTCGCCATGCTCGTAAACTGGTGTAAGAAATTGTTGTGGTTGGGCATTTAGGGGGTGGACTGGGCTGGGTACGCAACGGGATTTGTGGGGGCGTGTGACATAATTGGAGACCGCTGCGCTGCGCTGAGCGGCTTGGTTTCTCAGTCAGAGTCGTAAAAATGTGCAAAGTATTACGCTTTCCCGACTATGCTATATATGTATATGTATATACATATTTAATAGCCTTGGCTTGCCAAGAGCTTGAAAAACTTAAGAGTTCGCGACCTGGCGCTGTTTTCTTCATCTTTTTTTGGCACTATTTTTTAAGAATTTTCATTTTGTTCTTAAGTGAACTTTTCCTTAATTTATA